AGGCAACAGCAGCCAGATCTGGATGCTAAGGAGAAACATTAAACTGACAAAGGAGTGAAGCGTACTGTTCTATACTGCAAATTAATACCGTCACTTGCAGAACCAATTCCACCCTGTCCTGAAGCTGGCATTAGGGTGTGCCAGTGACAATCAGCTGGGTCAGGAAAAGGAACTGAGAGAAGCAGCAAGCCTCCCAAATCCTTCTGCACAGGGCAGCAGCCAGGCTGGGCTGCACTCATGACGATGCCCAGCAGCAGGACACACATGGATGATCCTTCCATGGAAGCATCCTATGTCCTCAGCTTCCAGCAACCCTTGGGGGATTTCCTGAGCTGCACTGTAACCTTTAAATGTGATGGATCAATGCAGTTGGATCTTTATGCGGCTCAACATACTAACTGCAATGGTAATTTGGGTTTTGAAAAAGCAGCTCATAGTAAAAATAAACATTAAGTATTGTTTTGGTATGCTGTTATTTCAATGACCTTTTAGTTCTAAGTTTATCAGCAACTGGTGAATGCACGCTTTTTATTAACTCTGCAATTTACTAACACAGAGAAGCACAGGCAGAACTTAAAGACCACTATTCACTCTCCAAACAACAAGTAATCCTTTACGTAGGAAATTAATATAACAGTGATTGTGACAGTGCTTCTGGCAAGCTCAGCTGCACTTCTTTCATGATATAGCTGATGATCTATTAGAATTTAACTTCACAGGCACCAACTGTTATTCATCGGCTAATATTGTACATCACTGTGCTTCCATAAAAACATACATATATTTAATCAAATCTCATATTTATGTATACATATCTGCTTCATACACATCATGATGTTTGCCTGGCAAGACTTTAGGCTTAAGGACTACCCAAAGCACGGCACACAACCAAGGACCACATTACCTTCAGCACACACAGGAACACTTTCAGCCTCCCCCGATCAGTGTTGTAAAACACCACAGATGAGGGTCATTCAGAAAAGTCAAAGTTTTTCTTCTACTAAAATGTTCTGCAAGTCAGTGTATCTCATGTATTTCCCATCCTGATCTTGCACTTTTAAAAATCAGGTTGTGGGAGACCACAACCTACCCAGGTTTAAGCAGCATCAGAGCTTTTAGCAATATGAAACAGCATGTTTTGAGCTCAAGCAAACTGCTTCTTGTCCCACGTGACACCCAGAGTACAGCTGAATATCTGTGCTCTTCCCCCTTTCAGAGCTACATCCCTTAGGAAGCAGGACAACGTCCTTAGAGCAGCCCTCTCCCAGGGACCATGCCTGCTTTTCACTGGGATGGGATGTGCTGGTTCCTGCAGCAGAGCACCTGCAGGGATGCTGCAAGGCTGGGTGCTGCCTGTCGGAGACCTGTGGTCCATTTGCTCAGAACCATTATGCAGCCCCCTCTTAGTTATATTCCTTAGTGCCTCACAGGGGCATACCTGTTTGAGGAATGCACAAAGGACAAGTTTTACTGCTGCTAATTCACTTCTTCCCACATTCTTGATTAACAAACAAAGAAAACCCACAGGGAAAAATCCAAGAGACCTGGCAGAGGCAGGAGATAACTGTCTGCCTAAATCAAGCCAAAGCACTTGCTCAACTTACAAGATGGGAACAGCAACACGTTCCCTGTCCATTTCGAGGAACACTGAAACAGAAGCTTTTTCTTCATTTCCTCACTAATTCTTAGAAGCTGTGCTTTAAAATTCTTCAATTTTCAGAGGTTCTGCCATCCAAAGGCCGAGATCTCAACCTCATAGAGCTCCATACAGCCAGGCAAAAGGAGTGAAACCTCCAGGAGGGTTAGACCAATATGGCTGCCCAGGGCTGCACGTGCTTTGCAGAAGGGATGCAACATTGTGAGGCCACTTTCTCCTGCAGCACTGCACCAGGAGCAGGGCTGAGTCCTGCATGAGTACCATATTAAGATCCCAATGCAGTCCTGAGAAGGATATACCTTGTTTTTCATGCTGTAGTACAGAATTATCTTAAAATAATGCAAAGGAATGAGGTTAAGACACTTGAATCTCTCGTGGATTCTTGGTTTTCACATGGGGAAAGCTAAATTCCTTCATACAGGTGTCAGGTTAGGGCCATTTCAAAATTTCCTTGCAAGAGGTCCTAAGTGCCAATGTACTTCCTATTTATGCTGCTCAGTGAAAGCCTATGGATACAAAGCTCTAGAAACACTAACAAACAATATATACATGTATATTATTGTATATTATCCACATTTAGGAGGAAGTTTTTCACTCAGAGGGTGGTGATGCACTGGAACAGGTTGCCCAAGGAGGCTGTGGATGCCCCATCCCTAGAGGCATTCAAGGCCAGGCTGGATGTGGCTCTGGGCAGCCTGGTCTGGTGGTTGGTGACCTTGCACATAGCAGGGGGTTAAAACTGGATGAGCATTGTGGTCCTTTTCAACACAGGCCATTCTATGATTCTGTCATCTGTCCTTAGGACAGATTTCTTTCCTCCCTGCTTTTTATTTAGGCGTTTCCTGCTTTGTGGCCCTGAGATGTGAACCTTAACCACATGGCACCAGAGTGGGCAGAGTAGATGAGTCCTTACAGAGTTTCACCAAGATGGACCACATTCAAGTTCTCAGCAGGACATCCTTCTGAGGCTTGCATCAGAGAGAAAGGAATTTGATGAGTGAAGTGCTGACAAACACATTACTATAGCTTTGATCTCAAGTCCATCCTACAAGAAGAATTCTGCCGGAATTATATCCCTGTTTCCATTTCTCTTCCTCTCAGCATCCCCTCAAGAGCGCACCAGAAACCAACCCAGCACATGAACACACTCAGAGAGCAGGTGTTGCCCTTCCTACTGATGTCAAAGTCAGAGCTAAAGCCCCACATGTGCCACGGGAGCGCAGGGCACAGAGCAGCACAGCACAGCACAGCACAGCACAGCACAGCACAGCACAGCACAGCACAGCTGAGCGGTCGTGCGGCGTTCTGGCCTTTGGGAGCAGGGAAGGAGAGCAGCCACTGCTGCCCCAGGGCCTCGCTGCGGCTGGGAGCCATTAAACTTTACAAGACGCCTGATGGATTTTAATGCCATTTTAGTAAAGCAGAGCGAAGAACAGTACGGTCGGTATTATCAGCTCATAAACCCACTGTGCTGGAGGAGGGGGCTGTTAAAAAACAGATTTTACAAGAGTCCTTCATGCCAACCCATTAGGTAACTAGAATTAGGCACATCTCACGTGCTTTGGGAACACCGGTTTGCACATACAGCGTACTTGCACAGATTTGCTACTCACACCAATCATCACTATTAATAAAATCACCAGGAATAATAAAATCTGGCTTCAAGTGCAGCGAAACCTGAGGAGGTGCAGCAAGCAGAAGCAGCTACAAGTGTTAGTTGTGTAACCACAAGCACACCTCGCAGTTCACCTATTTTGACCTTGAGATGGCAGAGAAAAGAGATCTAACATGACAAACACTACCCAGTGCACCACTATGCAGATACAGTGCAGAACTGAAAGCAAGAACAGAACTTGTACACTGAGCAGATCCCACTACTGCCCCTGCATCTCCTGCAAATGGTGCTGTGCTGCTACAACACATTGTGGTGGGGCAGGGGGAAGTGGAGGCTCAGGGTGGAGAAATGACCAGGGGGAAAAAGGAGGGATGGGCACTTTGAATGGTGACAAGTCAGTAATGGCGGAACGGGGAGAAAGGAGGAACAGAAGCGAGTATCCAGAAAGAGGGTGGAAAAGAATAAGAGAGTGAGAAAGGAGCGTAGCTGGGGGCAAAGGTGGTTTTTATTATTTTTTTTTTTTTAATTGAGACCAAAGGGCAGAATTCTGCACAAAGCTTTTCTCTTGAGGACTGATCTCACTGCTCGAGCCACTGCCCTCTGCAGCCCAGGCCTGAGTTCCTCCCATTTCCAGGATGACCACGTGGCTGTTAGGCAGGGCCACATTTACTCATATTACAATTAAACTACAGGAAAGCATGTTGGCATGCGAGGGAAGTGATGACCGAGTTGCTACGTCACTGTGGCCACAGAACAGATTGAAAAAAAGAAGAGAATAAAACATGAGAAAACCCCTAGTGAGCTCAGTCCGGCAGTGCCATCAAAACCAGCCTTCAGCCACCTCTCACACATTCAGAAGCAGGCAGCTAGGTGTAGCTCAACCACACTCATGCACGCACTTCTTTGATCCATGAAACCCAAAATACCACAAACTAATGAAAAAGGACAAAAGCATCCCAAAGGACGTGGATAAAAATGACCCCAAAGATTTTCCTGTATGGTGCACCCGAGGCAGTGATCCCACAGTGTGGGGCTGGGTACCTTCAGCACACTGCAGTGATCTGAGTGCATCTTCAGGCACTGCACGCTGCAGCCAGACCTCACGTGCCAGCAAACCCCAGCAAAGCACAACAGTTTCCAGAACTGTGCAAATATGGAGCCTTTGCAATCCACGTCTTTGGGGTCTAATGAATGCCCACAGTAACTGCAGAGTTTCCCAGCATCGACTGCCCCACATCAGAGCTGCAACTCAGGAGCCCATCTGCAGCTCTGGACCAGTGCAAGGACAAAAACATCTCTGTACGTACCAACATGCAATGCAAGTTCCAAGATCAAAATTAACTGTACTTTAGGCATGCTTTTAAAACAATAAATACTTCTGTGTGACTTCTGTTCCCCCCAAATAACCCGCCTTAATCACAATATTCCTCCAGCAAATAGTTGCTGCAGTTGGATTCTTTATTAGTAACAGTGCAGTTAACCAGTTACAGCTTTAATTAGGCAAAAGCTAATTATCAGAGGTGATTCAAAAATAGCACACTGAACAACATAAAAAAAAAAAGCCAACAGAAAAGCAACATGATATCTATTAAATTTTAGTTGGTAAAAACCAACACTTAAAAGATTTCGTGCAGAACGAAAAGATTTCCAACAGAATACTCTGAACTAAGCACAGTCACTCTGACGTCAGCCACACATCCTTCAATTTGCTTTTTTCACAGGACTTACCTATGTTTTTCTAGTTCGTTGTGTGAGGACCTATTAGAAAAAAAAAAAGAGAAGTAATATTAGAGAACAAGGTAAATACCAGGATTTGGAACGTTTAAAAACCAACACCTGCATAAGAGCTCTCTAAAATATATACTTCTATGTATTATGAAACAGCTTTGCTTTCAAATCACTTTTACATCTCTTAAATATTTCAAGGTACCAAGTTAATCTCCATGAGTAAATGGTGGGTTGGGGGAATTATAATAAATTTGCATTAATAAAGTTTTCAATAGATTCCAAGAGTGGATTGGATATGAAAAAAAAATGATCAGGTTAGTATTAAAAGCAGCCCACGAGATTTTTATCTGCAAAGAAAAGCTGTGAGGGGGCAGCAGTGTTAGGAGATCTGAGTGCCGATGATAAGGGGAAAAGCACCCAGCAAGCTGGCGTTGGAGCCAAGGAGAAGCAGAGGAAGAAATCAGCAGTCGAGCACCACTGTTGACATCTTAGTGGCAAAATAAAGGAATGCTCTGAATTCTTCTGAGCCTACAAACAGAAAAAAAAAGCCCAGTCCCTGAGCTGGCCACACTGGTATGCTATTCTCTTCCAAACTAACAGGCTTCGAGATTTATTTTTTTCCCCCAGCTGATGCCTCAGGTTTTTGTCATCAGAAGGCAGCCCTAACTTCTTGGGGATTTGTTTTTTTTTCCAATTGATTCAGCTGGAAATACTGATTTTATTTATTTATACAGCTCAGACTAAAGACATTCCCAAAACAAAGTTACTGTCACCACTTTAAACCCAGCAACTTCCTGGAGTATTACTTCTGCCCAAGCAGCACCATGTGCAGAACGTTAAGGACCACTATGGGGTGAGTGCGGACACCTCGAGAGCAACGTCCCCCTGACCAACATGTGCCCCATACAGCAAGAACTGCTCTATCTGTGCCCACTTGCACCCACAGTACCTTGATGAGAGCTGCACCATGAACATTACCTCTCTGGCCTCAGAGAGGAAAAGAGAAAGAGTTCATACAAAGGAATAATCATTGAAGAAAGCCACAAGCAATTTATTTCAGGCCAGCACAGCTACTGATCCCACAATGAATTAAGTGAGCAGCCCTCTGTGTGGTAAGGAAAGCCCAGGCACACACAGCATTCAGCAGTGGTGCTGATCCGCTTTTGACTGAGAGCATCCCAGTGTTGCTACCGAGACATCAACTAAGCAACCATTACCTGCTATCATTTGCTGAATAGCCTATGGATTATTTTTATAACTTGTTACATCAAGTGAGCCACATCCAGATAGTATAGATATTCTTCCAACACCACACAAGAACTCTCCTGACCAACACACTGAGACTGAGAATGGTTTACAAAGATATTCTGTGCTATGCTGGCATATCAAGTTATGGTTACTGCATTTTAACATCTTTACCATTTGACCCCAGTAAGGTCCCTATTCCCATATACACTTAGATAGATCAAGCTTTAGCTCCACAAGAAGCAAAGAACACCACGCCCAACCAGCCAGTGCTCACAGAAACACACAGAAAACAAATGCTCAGTCTGGAACCGTTCTGCACAAAGACTGGGCAGGCTGGGGACAGTCATGGGGGCAGTCATGGAAGACTCTGAAGGAGAAGCAGCACTGGCAGATGCAGCCAGGCCAGCTCTGGACCACACTCCCATTAATTAAAACAAACTGCTCCAACACCTCCCTTCTTGGGACACAGAACCCACTCGATACCTGCAGCATGAGAGAACTGCACCAGCAGGAACTGAGCATGCTGAGCAACGCTGAGCCCTTGGGGACAGCCTGAGAACCAAACCTGGAGAGCTGACATCCATCTGACCATTGTTCTACCTGCGGAGCAGCCTTTGGAGAAGAGGAGGCTCAGGGGAGACCGTATTGCTCTCTACAACAGTCTGAAAGGTGGTTGCAGCAAAGCCTCTTCTCCCATGTAAGCAGTGATTGGACAAGAGGAGGCAGCCTTACATTGCACCAGGGGAGATTCCAGTTGGATATTAGGAAAAGTTACTTCTCTAAGAGCGGTGAGTTATTGGAACAGGCTGCCCAGTTGGTGGTGAAATCACTGTCCCTGGAGGTGTTCAGGAAACATGGAGATGTGGTGCTGAGTGGCATGGGTTAGTGGGCATGGTGGGGATGGGTTGACAGTAGGACTGGGTGATCTCAGTGGTCTTTTTCAATCTCAATGATACTATGAAATGCCCTGCAATCTGGCAGGTGCTCTGGAAAGATTAATCAGAAAGTACAATAGTTTTCGTTCATTTGGTTTCTTTGGGGGAGGAGAGATGAACCTCTAAATACTATTTACTTTCTCCTTCCACACTATAGCATATTACAAGAATATCCATCTGCTTATGCTCCTACTGCAACTTGAAGTGAGAGAAAAGTCAGAACTGCTCTGCACACAAACCAGCACTCCAAATGCTACCATGATTTCAGGATGGAGGCTTTTATTATTTCACTGATACAGGGACTGGGCCAGGAACAAGAAGATAGATGGATATGTGTGTTTATAAAAGAACACATACACGTATTTATATAGAAGAACCAGGCCTATGCAGCAGTTTTCAGACCAATGGTCTGTGGAGCCCTTCAAAAGTGGCTGCAAAAGAAAGAAGACTTCTGGCATCGAACTTAAGTCCTCTGTGCTGGATTGTGCATCTCCATGCACAACTTCAGGGAGCTGGGGTAATGCTGGTAAAAGAGTCAGTAAAAAACCTCAGCCAAAAACGGGAAAGAGACACCAACAATCATCATCAAAAAAGTAATAGATCCAGGAGATCAGGAGTGCTGTTTGCAGGCATGGTGGCCCAGGATAGCCCTAACACCATCCAGTAAAGGGCAAGCAATCAGCCAATAACCAAGCAGCAGTTTTCTTAGTGAATGCATTGTCCAAAGAAGGTATGGAAGAGGGAGGAGGAGCCAATAAATACAGGGAACCCTACGTCCACACCTGAGCTGCCATGAGACACGCATGGAAGTACTGCAGCCCATCACCTGCACTGCCCTGCATGAGGAGTGTAACGCTGAGCCTGTGTACATGTGCATCCTGCCCCGTACTGACTGTTCTGGGGGCACTTTCCCAGTTACTTTAAACTGGACACACCACTTACAATGTTCTGGTGTGGAATTCATCCAGCAGAAACAACTTCTGCATTCTCCTCACAGCCTTGCAAATTGGGCTGCACACTTCCTTACACAGCTCAGGCCCCTGGATCCAAGCTCATACTGCTCGATGATGGCCATGATTTTGTTTCCTTCCCACTGACACCAACACTGCAGCTTCCAGGCACTGCAGGCTCAGTGCAGCTCATCACTGGGAAAGGAGCAGCCGGTAAGATTTATCACATTAGGACCAAAAGCATCAGCATTAAAAACAAGCTGAGGGATATTGATTGCTGTCCCTCTGCCGACTGTTTTAGGAAAGCAGACTCAGAGGGATCCATCGAATTCAGAAATCAGAGTCGTCATCCCGACAGCCTGTGCTTTCTTCTCAGCCTTCCGCAAAACAAAAAAGAACAGAAAAATAAAAGTCAGCTCTGATCCCTACGCCGTGTGGGCACGGAGCGACATCTGCGCAGAGCCAGGGGCTCGCTCTGCAGGGCACGTGCTGCCTCTCGCCGTGAGCCAACACTAACAGAGGAACCCGGATACGGAGCTCTGTTTTTATTTGAAACACCAAATGCAGCTTTCTCCCCTTTTTACACATAACCCTTCGCCAGAGCGCAGCAAAAAGTACAGCGCTATTTATATAACACTCCGACCAAAATACTGACTTTAAGAGATAGAGAAGATATATTTATGAACGGGCCTTTATTTTGCTTTCGTCCCCCCCCCTCCATAACACAGCTCCTAAAGGAGCAGGCCAAACACTGCACCACTGACGTCCAATTCCTTTCTCCACGAGTCAATGTAACCGTGACCTCAGTGGACTGGCATCCAACACACTGATTTCAGTTCTCATTTTACCTTATTTCTGACCCTTTCGGGTCAGGGACGCTGCTGCCCCTGTGCTGGTACCACGCTGTGCCACCAGCTGCATGGCAGTGCAAATCCACCTCACTCAGAATAAGAATACAGGATTCCAGCACCAAGCCCTTTCCCACTGTGTCCTCTTCCCTTTTTTTAATAGAAGCACAGAAACATTTGGGCTTTCAGGTATCACGAGGACAGAACACAAGGAAATCCAGCTACCTGCAGGCCAAGCTGGGTTCCTACCTGAGCCTTGCTAGCAAACGTCACCAAATTTCCAATCTGTGTCGTGCTCCTCCTTGGCACGCTGCACACATTATCTCTCCATTTCACAGCAACCTCAGGGAGACATCCAAAGGTTTGTTATTAAAATTTCCAAGGCACAACCCCGCAAAACCCAGCTGCTTGCTTTATGCCCTTTCTGTAATTCCAGACAGACATTAACCAGAGTTATCGGACTGCACTGCACTGATTTAGGAGCTACAGTTATTGCTTGGTGAAGAAGAGACATTTATTATCCTGCGGTCAAGTACATGATAAGCATTTGTGCAACAAGATGTGAGCTGGGTTTACCTTTCCTCCCCCCAAAAGTTAATTGCAGGCTTCTGCCTCTCTCAGATCTGTTCTCCTTGCACAACAAACACGCAGCCTTACTGGCCACAGGATTTGGGTCAGAACTATTGGAGGAGCACAACTCTGAATCTCAGCAATGGACATCAGAGAGAAAATGGAGCAGCCTGGTTCATGGGACACAGTAATGAGCACATTGCAGGAAATGTGGCCAGAAGAAATCACATAAAAACAGATAATTTTCATACAGAAGAGAAGAAGATGGCTAAAAAATGTCTGCTAGCCACTAACCACCCTGCAAATACCCTGCTGAGCAACAAGCTGCTAAAGAACACTTCCAGTTTTGATCCAAAGGTATCAGTAGGCAAAGCAAAAATGTGAAATTCCTGCAGTGGACAGTAGGCTTATAGATTTTGATTGATTAAATGCAGTTATGCTGCTGTTTTTCCTGCTATGAATCCAAATCTGTCATTTAATTCCCACAGGGAAGCAGGCAGTGCTTCAGCCCAGACTCCATTGCCTGGTCCCAAGGGTCAGCACCCTTCCTCCCATTCTGCTCACAAGAATCCCAGCCAAGATGCACCCCATTCGGCAGGAGGATGGAGGCTCCAGGTATCATAACACCGTATCAGTAGGGAAAGAAGCTCTTTGATGAGAAACGAGGCCCTTCTGCCTCAGCCCCCCAGAAAATCTGGAGCAGCTGCAGGGGTGCTCTGAGCCCCCACAGGCAGGCAGTGTGGGGAGGAATTGCAGAGCAGCGCGGTGCGTGGCACAGCCTCCTGCTGCTGACACTTCTCCCCTCCTCCCCTTTCCTCATTTTCCCAAAATGAGGAGGAAGATGTTTTTCATGCTTACATATATATATACATATATATATTTAGCTCATGAAGCGTGCAAAACATACATACATATATATATATCAGTTTTTAATCTGATCAGACAGTATAAACAAAGGGAGCTAAGGATGCTGCAAGCAGCAGGACATAAAAACAGATGACGAAAACAACCAAACCCCTGCAGTTTCGAAACGTGCAGTTCTCTACTCCTTTCCTTCCCCTCCAACCTTAAGCACGTATTTTTGTATCTAAGAAGAAAAATGCAGTCATTAGGAATAAACTTCAGACATGTACGCACTCTGCCTGAATCTGGAACGTTGATGTTCCAAGCCTTGAAAAGGGTTGAAGCAGAACAATAACGACAAACACTTTGCCCAGTGCTTCACATCACCATGACCACTCCAGATCCTCTGAACTTTGGCCAGTCGTCTGCCCCTGGTAATCTCCAAGTTGCTTAGGGAGACTTAACGGCATTATCCAAACTCTAGTCTGGGGTTCAGACCCTGCAGCCTATCAGTTCCAAATAATAATAATTAACAGCGATGCTGGTGTACTTCATGGGGTTTAGACTGGATGTTCTAATGTAAAGATCACTTTCCCTCCTGGAATTCAAACTCAGAGGCAAAGCTGATCAGCAACAGCTCCAAGTGGGAATGGATGCAGAGGTGCCCACACAGTTCTGCAGGCACACTCGCTCCTAACACAGCAGGATGCTGCATTTCAGCAATGCGTCTTCACTCACAACCTGACAGCATCCACGCCACGCAAAACAAGCCTAGCAGTGCTGCCTCAGGGCTCAGTTTGGGAAGCACCACTTCATCCCATAGCACAAACTCATCGCCGATCTAATCACTGCAGCAAGGAGGAAAGAAAGCACAAGGAAATGTATAGCTGGCATGTCACAGGATTGCACAGTGGAGGCTGGCACTGCTGCATGGTGAGGACCAAAACGAAAGTCCAAGCAGGTAAATTAGGATGCAGGATGGTAACTGCAAGCAGGCATGCATGCCTCAGCTTCCATAACACGAGCAAATCTGTGACCAGAAATCTTTTAATTCTGCTGTATTCGATAGGTTACAAATCCTCTCCTAAAAACTCCAGAAAGCAGCTTACAGTTCAGGTATATGGTATTTTGCAGGGATGACAAGAGACCTAAGAAAGGAAATGATGGAATAATAGCTCTGTAAGTAACACAGCTTTCCCAAACTCATGAGACACAAATAGTCCTTAAGGTGCAACGAGCACTTTGTGGTGGGAAATCCTAGAAGCCCTGTTTAGATTAACCATGAATTTGTTTCAAAAGGCAGTCAGCATCCTTTGTGAGTAGATAGCTAGAAATCTCCAGGAGCAGAGTCTCAGGAAACATCTCCCACTCCTGATGACTCTCTAAAAATGAACTGACATCTCTATACTCTGAAATGAGACAAAAAATTTAACTGAACCCAAAACCACGTCCAAGTGCTGCAGCGAGAAGGCAGCAGTGTGTGCCTGACTTGCAGCAGGGGACTGGGAACAAGCAGCCTCCCCCAGCAGCTCTCTGAGGTGGGCAGGAGCGGGGTGCCAGCCTTCCCAGGGATCCAGCTGCCAGCTTCTGATTTCAGTCTGCATCTGGGGCACCCTGCAGGATCCCTGCTGGGGGAGCGAGAGCAGCGCGGGCCCACCGAGCTCACGGCTGCTTTGCAAAACAAGTCACATGCAAGCCGAGTTCACGTTAGGCTATTCCAGAGGAAGCACCGTGCCCAGCGGAGTCGGCGGTGGGGCCAGGCCCAGCCGGGCACAGCGACTCCGGAACAGCCCTGGAAGAGCCGAGCAGCGCGGAGCAGAGCAGCAGAGCGAGGGCTGGAGGAGTTCCCAGGCGGGGGCCGGCACCGTCCCCGTAAGACAGCCTCCTGCACGTACACAGCCACTGCCGGAGCAGCAAACAAAGCTGCAGAGAGCCTGCGCGCAGCCGCCCTCCTCTAATGCCATCGCAGCACAGGTAGCGCTGCGGGGAAAAAAAAAAAAAACAACAACAGGCGACGGCACAACGAGGCAGGCGACGGCCACGGCGGGCCACGCGGTGTGACAGCGGCACGCCTTGGCCGTGCTCCAGCATCGGGTCGAGCCCGCTTCGGTACCGTCTCGCTGCCGTACCTACGGGAGAAGTTCAAGCACGGGGTCGGGACCGTCCCGTGCACGCGGTGATCCTGAGGCCCCCACGGGGGAGAAGGTTATAAATAAATGCTGGCGGGGTGGGGAGGGGGGGGTGGGAGGGGTTGAATTAGTGCCATGCAAAGAAAGGGCTGCGTGGGGCCCGGGCAAGGCGCCGGCAGAGAGCGCGGAGCAGAGCAGAGCCGTGGGGGCGGCCGGCCGAGAGGAGATGCTGTACGCGTGGCAGTGTTTATATGAGAGATCAAAACAGAGCCAAGCCCATCCAGGGAAAAATGGCGACTCCCGGGATGGGGGAGCCGAGCCACGGGGCTGGCTGCCGTTGGGATGGATGGGACGCGGCACGGCATCGCGGGATGCGCTGCGGCGGTTACCTGTTATTCGGGGACTTTCTGGCCATGGAGCCTGCCTTTGTTTTCTTTCTGGAATAGTCACTATCGAAGGGTAACACTGATGCATAGCCATGTTCTGCTTCTAGGGACAAAGTCAGCATTAGTGGCAATATATTTTTTCCATGCATTTTTTTCCTCCTTTGCAGGAACGCTAGGGGTAAAGAACAGAATTTGTTTGCGGTTGATTTGTTGGGATTTCATTCCGGCATCTCTTAAAGCAGCGACACACAGCGCAGACACGCCGATCGCACGCACAGCCACGCACACCGATCACGCTGATCACACGCACACCGATCACACACACGCACACCACACACACAAAAGCGCAACACCCCCCCCAAGTGCCACCGCCTCCCCCCCTCCCATCCACGCGGCTGAAAACCACAAGAGATACGAATTGTATAGACGTGAAAAATAAAGATAAGGAGCAGAGCGGAAAGGCGAGCGCCGTGCCCGGCCGCGGGCAGGTGGTGCGCGGGGCCCGGCCGCGATCGCCTCACAACAAAGGGAGAGCGGCTCGCGGCGCTCAGTACCTCGGTCTCTTCTCTCCAAGTACTCGGCCGCCTCCAGGAGAATTAACAGAGAGTTCAACTCCATGGCTGCGTGTGAGAGGAGAGGAGAGCAGAACAGAGCCGAGCCGAGCTATGCCGAGCCGAGCCGAGCCGAGCCCCCCGCAGCCCGGCCACTCCACTCCGCGCCGCGCCCCGCGCCGAGTTCACGCGCGGGGGACTTCCAAGTCCCCAGTTATAAGGCACCTCTCTCAACCTACATTGACACACAGCCGACAGGCAGCCCTCGCGGCCAATAGGAAAACGGGGTTCAGTGAGGGGGCGGGACGAGGCGCCTCCATGGGGCCAACCGGCGGCCAGAGCCCCCCTCCCTTTTCCTCTGGCTGGGGCAGGGAATGTTGACAGATCCCCATCTCGCCTCCCATTGGCTGGCCACTATAGTAACAATTTAGAAGCCGAAGCTTAGCAACAGCACGTGGTGGCCCGGCCCCCTCGCGCGCCAATTGGCTCGCTTCTTGCATGTTAAGCAGCTAGCTGGCGCCGATTGGCCTGGTGGGCGCTATGCAAATGAGAGCGGGGAAGGAGCCAATGGTGCGGGAGGGGCGTAACATACAGCCGGGGGAGGGGCGGAGGGCGGGGACGCCAATGGGCGTGGAAGAGGCGCGGCGTTGCCGTGAGGAAGAGGCAGGCGGGGCGGGGCCGCGCAGCGCTTCCCGTTGAAAACAAACCTGCGGGCAGGCAGCGCTCTTCGGGAAAGCTGCGAGAAAAGGGAGGAGGGGGTCGAGGAAAACAAAAACAAAGCGGGGCAGAGGAGGCTGAGCGCTCCCACAGCCCTTCCGCACAGCCTCTCTTTGCCGCGGGAGCCGAGAGCCGCGGCGGGAGCTGCGGGACCGCGGAGAAGCGGCAGGCCGCGCGCAGCGACTGTACTGCGCGTGCGCGGGGCGGGGCGCGCATGCGCTGTGCGGCGCAAGGGAGCTGTGGGGCCGCGTGGGACGCGGCGCGTGCTGTGCGCTGTCAGCTCAGCGCCAGGCGCCTTTCGGCCCGGAGCTTCTCTGAGGGAGCGG